CCCCCCGTTCCCAGCATAACCTCCTTTTTTTGGAGAAATGAGTATTTCTGATGGCTTTGAAGGAAACCCCATCTCATCACACCAAGTGTTTTGCACTTGGAAGAATCAGGCTGTTGATAAATGGCACAAAGTTGCTTTGAAATGAAAACCAGACACGTGTCTGTGGGCTTGATAGCTCCTTTCTGGGTTGGGGGTTGTGGTTTTTTTGCTTATTTTTTTTCTATTCCATTAACTAAATCCCCTTCCCCCAGGGCCTGGCCCCAGCCCTGGGAGCTGTGCCTGGGCTGAGCCTTTGTTGGCTGAGCCCACCATCCCTTGTTGAGGCCACCACCCCATGGGGACACAGCAGACCCCTGCCATGGAGGGGAGAGCTTTTTTTGGGGGGGGGACAGAGAAAAACGCTTAGACCTGTTGGCCCCACTGGGTGCTGCTGGGCACCACCACAGCCCCTTGGTGTGAGCCCGTGGGGACAGGATGACCCCTTGACAAGGGGTGAGTCCTCCCACCAGGGCTGGGCTTTGCAGAGCCCTTTCCAAAAGAGAGAAGAAAGGGATTTAGGACTCTGCAACCTTGTGATAGCTGGGAAACCAATCTCCAAAAGTCCCAGTTTCCCACTCTGTCCTACCACCCACCACTGATGTGGGCACCCAAACAACCATCACCTCCCCCTCCCAACAGCACCAGGACTTCCTGTGAGCCTGGACACCATGAACCTGAGACCCACCCCCCTGCAGCCCCCCCTTGCTGACCCCTTTCCCCACCAGGTCTCTGGGAATTCCAGTTTACTAGGAAGTTGGGAAAAAAAAAAGAAAATAATAATAATAAAAATGGTTGGTTTGGCTCCAATTTGGCTGCTGACCAAGGGTCAATGAGTGGAGATTTCCTGCTCCCCCCAGCCTGTGTTCCCAGCTCCTCCAGGGAGGGGTTTTCCCTCCTCAGGGTCTGTGTGGAGCAGCCTCTGACACCCCTGGGTTGGGTTCTTGGGTTCCACAACCTCAGCGTGGTGCTGGTGTCCAGAAATCCCAGCCAGGGAGGCCATGGGTGACCCTGTTGGAAGAGCAACTCTCCATCATTTTGCATGTGAGCATCTTCCAGCTGAAGCTGCTGCTGAGGGACTTTGCCTGGGGTGGGAGGTCCTCGTGACAGCTGCGTCACCAAGGATGCCTGTAGCTCTGTGGTTCCCCTTCTTATCAACCTCCAGCTGGGACCAGGCAGAAAAACATCCTACGTGCAGGAGACTGCTGGCAGCTGCAGAGGCTGTTGGCCCAGGAAGGCAGGTGAGATGCCTACAAGCCCAGAGATGCCTGTTGGTTCCTCTCTGCTGCCCCCAGCACCCACCAAGGATGGGCTCAGAGACACCCACGGGACACCCTGCAAAGCAAGGGGCCAGTCCCTGCCCTCCTCACCCCTCTCTCAGAGGTTCTGGGGTGGGTGATGGATGCCCTTCTGCTCCCACCATGGAGGGTACCCGGGGACAGGAGGGGAAGGATGGGAAAACCCGTGTTGCCACGGAGACGGATGCTGAGCCGCTCGTGGGGCTGCAGGCTTGGGGGGACCCTGGGGGAGATGTGATGTCCCCAGGCAGGGAGGATGTGTCCCATCAACTTGTGTCACCATCACCAGCTGCATGGAGCTGCTGTGTGTGTGGACACGTGTGTGCTGGCCAGGCTGTCCCTGCTGAGGGCCAGGGGTGCCACCGCCGCCCTGCCTGCTCCTCACGGGGCACTGCTCCCTCCCAGCAGCTTTGATAAGCTCCTGGTCTTACCAGACCTGCAAAATGTCTCTGCTGGTGCAGCTCCCAGCCCCAGGACCCACAAAATAAGGAAATGAGGAGTTTGACAGTGAATGTTTCTTAGGGCAGCTCTGAGGTACCAGCTGTGATAGGAAAGGGTGAGCAGGGGTGGTTGTGTGGAGGAGCAGGAGTTTGGGGATGGTCCCTGGGCTGGATGGGAAGATCTGCTGGTTTTTCTGGGTCTACCTCAGTCCTACAGCCTCTGGCTGAGGACACTCAAACCCATTTTCCCCTTAATTTCCTTTAAACCACACTTTTGGCTTCCCCATCCCATTTCTCCAAGCATTCAAGGGTGCTTCAAAACCCCCGTCTGATCCATCTTGCTGAGATCTCTCCTTGAGGAGCTTCTGGAGGGGAAAGAAATTATTCTCTCCTGATTTAAACCTCAAAAAGAGCTTTTTTCCAGCCCGTGTGCAGCCTCGTGTGTTACTTTTCCTCATGGCTCTGGTTTCCTGGGCACAACAACTCCTGCACCAGTTGGTACAAAACACTGCACGGGGAATTTGTTTTGTTGTTCCTCCCTGTCCAGACCCCGAGTTTAAAAGCTCCTGCTTGATTTACTGATTCATTCAATCAATTATCATCGTGTGTAATTCGTTAAGCTGCTTTCCCAGATGTGGTGAGGCTGCTGTGAGGGAGAGGGGGGGACAAAAACCCCACCTCTCCAGTCCACATTTTTCATGTAAACAAACAAGCTTTTTTTTCTGATCCTTTCCAAAAAAAAGAAAGGAAGAAACACACCCAAGCAGCTGGGTTTGTTTTTTTGTTTGGTTGGTTGTGGGTTTTCCATTTATTACAGAGCTGTGATTGCTAAAATAATTATGAGTGAAGTGCTGTGGCCAGTGCAGCCCCTCGATGTCACCTGGGCTTGGGGACTGGGGTGGCAAGAGGGATCCAGGAGCCTTCAATCCCTGATGGCAAAGTATCTCTGCTGAGGGGTTTTGTCAAGACTGGGTGTTTTTTTTTTTTCCCCACCTTTTCCCTGCATAAGAGGTGTATTCAAAGCCTGGTTGTGCCCTCTGTACGGGGACAGGCTGCCCTGGGCCATGGGGAGCTCACCCTGGGCCTCAGGGCACTGATTGCTGCTTTATCACCAGAAATGCACACTCAGCCCTTGCCAGGGGCTGAACCAGCACAAATGCCCCTTATCAGCACGATTTCCACCCCAACCCCCACAAAGAAAAAAGTGCTTCCAAGCACATGCCTGTCCTAGGATGAGGGTTTATGGCCCCAGGGAGGCTGGTCCTGGGGCAGGTGTGAGGGACACATGAGCTTCCCTGCCTGGCCATGGGTTTCTCCCATGACTCAGTGTGGCCAAAGGTGAATGGGAAGGGGATGGAGATGTGGTTTCAACCATAGGATCTCCTCCAGCTTCATCCTGCAGGCTGGGGGGATCCTACAGCCCGAGGTTGGGACATTTCAAAGCCCTGAAAATGCAGTGTTGCTGGAGGCAGCCATGGGCTTAGGGCCCCAAAATGATGCCTGTGTCTTGGGAGGGTCATAAATGCATGCAAAACCCTGCTGGTCAGCCCCTGGGGAGCCCCAGGGTAGGAGATGTGCCCAGTGCACACAGCCAGGAACATCACAGGGCAAGAAGTAAAAGCCTGGATAGAAATAATCCCTCCTCCTTCAACCCTCATCCTTCGTCCTTCATTCCTCATCCTTCATCCCTCATCCCTCCCTCCTTCATCCCTCATCCCTCCTCCTTCATCCTTCATCTCTCATCCCTCCCTCCTTCATCCCTCATCTCTCCTCCTTCATCCTTCATCCCTTTTCCTCCATCATTCATCCTTCTTCCCTCATCCTTCATCCCTCCATCCCCACCAACCAGCCAGAACTGGGCACCGATACGGGCTGAGCCAAGAGTCCAACATGTTCCCTCTGCACCCATGAGCCCAATAAAACGTGACAAAGTCCATTATTTTCTTTCCTTTTCTTTTTTTTTCTTTCCTCCCTCCTCCTTTAATGACTGCAAACAATCCCAGCCCCGAGGCGAGCGAGCGTGACTGCCCTGGGACCATTAATCATCCCCTGGGAGCCCAGCGTGGGTTATCGTGGCTGTTTATCCCAGATGCTATTAAAAAATTGCCATAAATGCTCCTTCAGCCTCTTCTGAAAGAGATGAAGTGTTTGCACTGGCTGCTCTGATCCTATCACCCAGCTCAGCAAAGTTCTGTTCCCTGCGAGGAGGAGGAGGAGGAGGAGAGGGTGGGGAATTCCTGCCAGGAGGAGAACTCGAGGGTTTTTTTTTTCCAGCCAGACTCCTCCCATCCAGCTGGGGAAGGAGCTGTGTTCCCTGGGGAGCTTTGTCCCAGCTGGGAATTCCTCATTTTTCAGCCTTCATGGGACCACAGGGAGTTTGGGACCAATCCCTCCCACCTGGAGAAGAGAAGGGTTTGGGGACAAGCTCAGAGCATCTTCCAGTGCCTGAAGGGGCTCCAGGAAAGATGGGGAGAGATTCCATCCCCAGGTGAGGAGAAACTCCAGAGAGGATAGTGATAGTACAAGGGGGGATGGGTTAAAACTGGAAGAGGGAGATTGAGGTGAGACATGAGGAGGAAATTCCTCCCTGTGAGGGTGGTGAGAGCCTGGCCCAGGTTGCCCAGGGAAGCTGTGGCTGCCCCATCCCTGGCAGTGTTGAAGGGCAGGTTGGATGGGGCTTGGAGCAGCCTGGGCTGGTGGGAGGTGTCCCTGCCCATGCAGGGGGTGGGACTGGATGATCTTTAAGGTCCCTTCCCACCCAAACTATTCCATGATTGTATGATGTGAGCCAGGAGGACAATTTGTGCTCAATTCTGGGCTACCCCACATGTGCTCCCTTGGCAGCCACAGACTCTTCCAACAGGACTTCCCCCCCCACCTCTATATCTAGTGAAAAATCTGATCGTTTTGTCCCAGATTTGGGGCTCTGTGAGGAACCAGAGAGGCTGGGGTTGTTTCAGGCTGTTTCAGCTCCTCTGAGGCACCTGGGCTCTTGAATCACAATCCTCGAGGGAGGCATCTCACAAATTAGCATTTCTTAGTGATAAAAACTTGATTTAGGAAGAGGAAGGGGGAAAAAAAAAACAAACCACAAACGCCAACCCCAAAGAGGTTATATCAGCAAAATGGTAATTTGATAATCTCTGGCGGCAGGAGGGGGAGCTGCACCAGGGCGAGGGTGAGCAGCAGGGGAAGGGCAGGAACTGCTGGTTCTACCGTGAATTATCAGTTGATAACATTCCTATCGACCCGCGGGTGCTCAGCAACCCAGGACAAACCTGGAGCGGGCTGGGCTGGGCTGGTAGCCGGGAAGCTGGAGCAATATCTGCTGAGCTGCTCCCACCCACTGATCTGCAGGAAGCTGTGGCAGCATCCCTGGGAAACCCCTGAGCACCCCTGAGCATGCCTGAGCACCCCTAAACACCCCTGAGTGTCCTGGAACATCCCTGAGTATGCCTGAACATTCCTGAGAACCCCTGAACAGCCCCTGTGCAACTCCAAGCACCCCTGAGCATCCCTGAACATCCTTGAGCATCCCTGTGCATCCCTGAACATCCCTGAGCAGCCCCAAGCATCCCGGACCACCCCTGAGCATCCCTGAGCACCCCTGAACATCCCTGAGAACCCCTGAACACCCTTGAGAACCCCTGAGCACCCCTGAACATCCCTGAGAACCCCTGAGCACCCCTGAGAACCCCTGAGCACTCCTGAACATCCCTGAGAACCCCTGAACACCCCTGAGCACCCCTGAGCACCCATGAACATCCCTGAGCACCCCTGAACATCCCTGAGAACCCCTGATCACCCCTGAACATCCCTGAGAACCCCTGAACACCTCTGAGGAGCCCCAAGCATCCTCGAGAACCCCTGAGCATCTCCAAGCCCTCCAGCCCATGCTGGGACATCCTGCAGTGTCACTGACACCCAACCCACATGTCCCCTCCTGGCAGTGCAGGGAGCTTTTCATTCCTGCCAGCTCGGGGAAGGCTCAGGCAGATTTAATAATGCCATTATGCCCCTGGCAGTGTCTTTAATTAAAGAGCTGGTTACAAATGGCTCCCTGTTCCCTGGGAAGGGGAGGGCACTGGCCACTGTTGAAGGAGCTTGTTTGTCCCCAGTAAGCTGCCACCGAGTCCCCTTGCACATGGCAATGGGTGCAGGGACCCCTCAGTAAACGTTGCCATGGGTCACCCTTGGGTTTGTCCCCTCTGTGAGGATGGGACAAGCAACCAACTCCATTTAATCACGCCAGGCTGGAGGCTGCTGCATCTTTTTGGCTGCTGCAAGTGGAGGGAGTTCAGCTGGAGGAGGTTATAAACATTTATAAATCTGCTCAGGATTGTGTTACAACAGTGCTGCTCTCAGCAGATGGCCCAGCTTTGTGTTCTGCCAAGTATCCTAAAGGGTGGACACCCCACCCCCCCAAATCTCATCCCCTGTTGAAGCTCTTCCAAGGGTCTCAGTTGGACCATGGTGGGGAGGGAGGAAAGACCTCCCTGGACACCCAGCCAGGGGACACACCAGCCCTTTCCAGCTGGGGCACAGCCCCACAGCTCAAGGTTTGCAGTTCATGGTGGTTTTTATGGCTCAGCTGGTTCCCTCCAGGAAACCATTTCCCAACAACCTCCAGTTGGACAAACCCAACTCCAGGCATGGAGCTGGCAGCAGCTCCTACAGCAGCTGCTGTGGGGTTGTCCCCCGTGGGTCAAGGCTGGGGGTGATGGCCCTGGGACTCTGTCCTGGGCTGCAGCAGGGTCCAGACTTCACTCCTGATGTGACAGGTCTCCATCAGGCCCCAGGGCTGAGCTGGGATTTGGGATCTGCTGATTCATGCCATGGTGGGGGTTGTGCACCTCCTGGGGTTTGTACCCCATGGCCCCCAGTGAGGGGAGGAGGTGATGGAGGAGTTTGGGGGGGACCTCAGGAGGGTCCTTGGCCTGCCTTTGCTCAGGAGGGTCTGAGCCCGTGAGAGCAAGTGCCCAAGGGAAGGGCTGGAAGGGGGGACCAGCCCTGTGCCCTGATCTGCCCCAGGGGAGGGAGGGTCCCCCCAGCTGCTCCTGCTCCCACCCGTGGCCCAAGGCTGAGTTGGTGCAGGAGTCGCCGGGCCCTCCCTGCCGGTCGGTCCTTCCCCCGGGCGCAGCGCACGGTGAGGTCCTGGTGACATCTAGTGGCACCGTGTGACACACACGGACCCACAGACACGGACACACAGACACGGGGGGGGGGTCGGTCCGGGGGTCCCACTGCCCAGCTCTGCACCCCCAACTGCCCCTCCGGAGACCCCGCCCGCAGCCGGGCCGGGAGGAACTGGGAAGGGGGACCCCCCCTGTGTTCCCCCATCTCCCGTTATATCCCCCATGTCCTCATATCCCCCCCCATCTCCCTTCCTATCCCTGCTTTTCTCCCCCGGGAACACCCCGTGGGGAGCACAGGATGCGGCCAGAGGTGCTGGGCGGGTTTATAGAGGGGGAGAGTGGGTGGAAGTGGGGGGGTCCCTGGGGACGTGTCCCCCCCTCCCCCGCCATCTCTGTCACCCTGGTGCTGATGGGGAGCAGGGGACTCCATTTAGCCAGCCCCTCATTAGCACCGCCCAAATTAATTAACGTGTCCTGCACCCCTGCCCGGGGGGGTCACCCACCCGGGTTTGGGGTTCCCAGCCTGGTTTTGGGGTGCAGTGCCCCAGGGTGCAGGACCTGGCACAGATTGGGGCTGGGGGGGGACAAGGGGGGGGTCACAGGACCTGCCAGGGTCCCTTGGGGACAGTCCCCAAAATACACAGACCCCTTCATGCTAATTCCC